ACATTTAACAAGAGTTTAGAAATCCACTTCCCTCGGATAATCAAGAATTCACTCTGCCACATGAGCCTGCCACTTTCGTTGATTTTCCAAATAAATGCAATCTATTAATATAATAATCACAATAAGATTTTGAAACTAACAAGACTTATATCACTATGTGTCTAGTTTAGACCCAAAACTCACTCAAAATTATAGTCAAGTTCAAAAGTCTTGATCTGAGTTAACATGCAAATCTCATATTTTATAAATTTCAAGTCTAGGGTTAAGTCATAATTTTTCCAATATCGCAATCTAATGGTGTTCATATGTATAATATAAACCTAATTAATAGTTAAATAATAATAGTATTATCTTTACACTACCGTTTCCAATTCCTTATGTGCTAACGTATTAAAAATATGTATTTGTATGATATATTTTTATTTCCATTTTTATCAATATAGTTCTACAACACTTACAACTAATCCCCATAACAATTATCGATAGAAGCAATAACTTGTCCTTAATCTAGTAAGCCGACACCAAGTCTCAAATTCAATTCTTTCCACACCAAATATATAATAATAATAATAATAATAATAATAATAATAATAATAACAATAACAACAACAACAATTTAATATATAATGACTTCTATGCATAATCACAAGTTCATATATTAATATAAATTATACACGATTTTTAACCTAAAAGTTTACTCCTAATTACATAAAAATTTAATAGAAGGGATGAGAATAATTACCTTGACGCCTTAAGATGAACATCAATTTTTCTCCTCCTTTTTCCCTTTTTTTTTCTCCCTTCCTTTTCCTTCTCTTAGCTTAGTCAATGTCGTAGTATGAAAAAAAGGAAAATCCTTCATCTTATTTGATCTTTTAAGCTCTTTCTCAGATAATGATGATATTCTTAGTGTGTGAAGTCGATTCTTGCTTGACTTCTGGGCTCACCCGAGGCGAGGACTGCTTTCTTTCTTGCTTTGTATCTCTTCTTCTGTGTATTTTTTTTTTGTTTTGTTCGGTCTTTTCAACTGCAGCCGCCTGAGGCTTCATCGGTTTAGGGCACTTTACCCTTTCTTTTATTATTATTATTATTATTATTATTATTATTATTATTGTTATTGTTATTGTTATTGTTATTTTATTTATTTATTTATTTTTCTATTTTTTTTCATTAATATTAGCAATAAAATAATCTTTTATTAAATATATAAATCATGTTACTCACTCTTATAAATCTTAAATTATTTATAAAATCTAATAAAATGGTTAATATAGAAATAATGGTTAAAATTTTTAAAACGGCTAAGTGGGTCGTTACAATTTTTAATGTCTATGTGATTCTGTACTTGTTTTTTTTACATGGCAAAAGGCATAATCTTTAAGGAATGATTATTAGCATTGGGATAAAGTTTTTTTCTCTTTAATTTTATGAGAAATATATAAGGAAGTTGTAAATGTGGAGTATTTAATTTAGGGATAATGCACAAGTACCCCCTCAAGCTATGCCCGAAATCCCAGAGACACACTTACACTATACTAAGGTCCTATTACGCCCTGAACTTATTTTATAAATAATTTTTTACCCCTTTTTAGCCTACGTGGCACTAGTTTGAAAAAAAAAGTTAATCATCGTTGGGCCCACAAGATAGTGCCACGTAGGTCGAAAAGGGGTAATAAATTATTAATAAAATAAGTTCAGGGGTAATAAGACCTTAGTATAGTATAAGTGTGTCTCTGAGATTTCGGACATAGGTTGAGGGGGTACTTGAGCATTATCCCTTTAATTTACCTAAAGATGTGTTTCATTTAAATCTACTTTATTGCAAAATGTTTTGGATTTCTGATTCTAGTTTGAGTTTTAGTTATAGAATATCTAGAAAAAATTGGTTATAAAAAGTGATAATTGTCATTTCATCGATTTGATCTTTTGCAAAGTATCCTTATTGTTCAAAGGATAAAAAAGTTTGATAAATAGATGTATAAAATAATTTGGATTAATACTCTATTAAATATCTTGATAGACAAAGTTCAATATTTAGATTATAAAAAAAAAGTGTTCAATGGAGACGTGATAGCAACCATGGCTGCATTCTATGGGAGAGATTTGCGTCAAACAGTGATTATCAAATTGCATATGAAAATTCAGTGCTATTACAGTTACAAAACCTTTTACCAAAGAAATTTGATGTTAAAGGAAACTGCAATATTGGACTACTTCATTTTTGTCACCTGTTGATCGGGTTTGATTTATATGAGGACTATGTACATGTTTTGTCAAGTTCGTATGGTTATTTTATGTTAGACGGCGAATAGTATTTGTTTAGAACCTTTTTTGGACACCATCGTTCAACCTCAAGGACGAAATACCAAAAGCCTGGGTATGAATTTCATTGCAAGAGTTATGTGGAAGGAGGTCTTTATTATCAATCACAACGGCTGCACGAACACCTATTCCAATTGATAAAGCAACACAAGATTCTCTCGGTTTATGTTATTGCCAAAACACTTTTTTTCCCTTCAACTTATTATACCTTTTATAGAGTTTGACTTGCCTTCATCAACCTCTACGAGGAAAGGAATTATAAATCATTTTCCTTCTTGAAATTGTCTATATTTATTTCTATTCTTATTTAATTTGAATTGTAAGTTCTTTCCTTTTTTAACTTGAATTGATATTTTTTTATTTCTCATAAAGTTAATAAAAGAGAAAATGTAAGAACATTAAGATTTTCCACTCAAAACTTTCTCTTATATTATATGTTGTCTCAATCACTCAACATGTCAAGTTCACATTCAACCGATAGACATAAAAACCAATTAGTTCTTTTCTCTCAAATCCTCGTCGTAACAACTTGTTCAATCCAATCATCATAGAATCCAAAAACCCCATCAATGTCCCTATGCAACATGAGCAAATGGTTAACTCTTGTGTCTTGATCCCAAATAGGAATTTCGACTTAATCTTCTACCTCAGCCACTATTGCCACTAAAGGATCCATGTTCTCAAAGATGTACTCCCAATCACTTTCATTAAATCTTACGCCTCTTAAATCCTTTATCAGTCATTTCACCAAAGGGAACTCGATCTCGTATCATCTTTGAAATTTTATTCAAAAACAATTTTGATGTTGTGATATAGTATATTGAATAATCGGAATACAAATGAGTTTGGATACAAATTTGATAATATTAAGTATTGGATTATTAGAATGTAAATTTATTTGGATATAATTTTGATGATGTTTCCCTATTCTACATTATTGAATTTTATGATTTATATATTGAATGATTGGAGTATAAGTTTGATTGAAACACAAATTTGTTACAGATAACAACTTATAGAATACAATTTCTAAAAACTAATTTTTGGAATACAAATTAGGTTAGAATACAACTTTTTTTTTTAAAATCGAAAGTTACAAATAAAAGTGAATAATAAATTTAATCAACAGTTAGGAAACAACTTTTTGAATACAATACAACTTTTAAAATATAAAAATCAGTTTAGAATATATTTTTTTGTTTAATCAAAAGCTAAAAATAAAATTAAATGAGTACAAATAATTGATATACAAAATACATTTATTTTGAATACAAATACACTTGATAACTGAATTTAAATATAGCATATAAAATGATTAATTTGAATGCACATGGATACAATATGCTTAAATAAATATAATATTGCTGAAAAATATAATTAAGATATAAAAAATACAACATATATATACTTATATGAATAAAATATATATCATTTTAGTCGTCTATAATTTCACTTAAATAAATACAATATTCTGAAATACAATTGACATATAAAAAATACAACTGACAATACTAATATGAACAAAAATTAAGTATGAAATTAAATATTAACTAAAATTGAAAAAAAGTAAACACCAAAATACAAAACCTACTCTGTAATAACGAGATCTACTTAAAAAATCAAACTCAAAAGAAAATTTACTAAACTATTCTGAAGTTGAAAAAAATTGGACACAAAAATATAAAGGGTCAAAGAAAATACAAATCAAAACTAAAAATTTCTTATATTAACCCAACAAATACAAATCAAAAGAAATTTATCCAATTAAATGAGCATATGATGCAAATATTTTATTTGATTTTTTCCCATTTTAATAAAAAAAAACATAACAAAAAATATGAAAGAACAAGAAGGGGAACAAAATTAATGAACAGAGAGAAAGTGGAATTGATGAGGAGTGAAAATATAATGTATTTTAGGAGGATAATTATAAATATATAATTTGCTATAAAAAATATATGAGAGAACATGTGATTAATGTGAAATAATTAGAAAATAAACTAGGATACATTATATTTTTTAAAATATTGCTATAATGACATCTTTAATGATTATTTCCAAGTTTTTTTGTTTTTAATAATTATGTTTGAAATTTTGACTAGTTAGCTAATTTTTCCAAAAATTAAAACACCCCTTTTGAACTTTGACCAAATGAAAAAAGCCTCAAAGATTCAATTACTATAAAATAGAGAAAGTGCTAAATATTAATTAATCGGAAGATATAGTGTAGTAAAAAATTTATGTCCATATCATCCAAATTCAAATCTAACAAATAAAAGTTGGCTGAGAAAAAAAGTAGCAAAACACCTGTGTTGTGTGTTTGAGAAAAAAATTGCAGACCTTCTTTTCTTTATTTATTTGGAGCTCAAATGGAACCAAACAACATTCATCAGGCACACATGGTAAAATTCTACTCTTTTTATGATATTATTTCTTTGTTCGTCCCTATTTTAATATCTATGTGATTCTTCACTTGTTTCTTTTTTCATGGCAAAGGCATAAGCCTTTAGGAATGATGATTAGCATTGAGATTAAGTTTTTTCCTCTCTTTAATTTTATGAGAAATATATAAGGAGAAGTTGTAAATGTGGAGTATTTAATTTAACTAAAGATGTGTTTCATTTAATCTACTTTATTGCAGAATGTATTGGATTTCTGATTCTAGTTTGAGTTTTAATTATAGGATATCTAGAAATAATTTGTTACAAAAAGTGATACTTGTCATTTCATCGATCTGATTTGTTACAAAATATCCTTATTGTTCAAGGATAGAAAAAAGTTTGATACTTATTAAGATGCTTAAATAGATGTATAAAGTAATTTGGATTAATACTCTATTAAATATATTGATAGAAAAAGTTCAATAATTAGATTATAAAAAAGTGTTCAACTCTTAAATTAAAGGATAATATGGAAACTCCACTTAAGTTCAATAGCTTACATTTCACCTTCAATTGTACGAACAACGATAGAATAAACATGTAATTGCTTCAATGTTTGTGTAGCCTCTAAATTGTACAAGTGTTCATTGACAAACCCTAGTTCTGGGGTACCACTTATGAACATGATAGGTACATAGAAGTGAAAGGTAACGAATCACATAAAACATTGGGCAATTCATTAAGTGAAAAGTTAACAAAAAGATTGATAACGCCATAAAAAAAAAAAGCCATGGGAAGCTACATTGGAAGTCATACAAAATATAACATGACATGAGTATGGTATCTATGGGACTTCTAATTCACAAATGAGACAAGGCCTTTACTATACCCAAAAACATACAAAAATATCACTTCATAAGCAAAAGTGTCTCAACGATAAATAACCCTCACCAAAAGCCAATGAAATGAGTGGAGTGCCTTGTGAGAATTAGTGCCACCCTGAGAGTCCATACGTGTATCACAAAAAGATGCAGTACCTTGACAAAAGAGAAGTGATTACATGTGAAATAGTACTCACATGATGAAAAGAAGCGGTTTTTCGCACAACTTGCTCATAGTGCAGGTCCCACTTGTATATCGTATTTGGCCGAGCTGAACCCAAATATAAGAGAATGTAAGTTGTACTAGCACCAACTTATTGCTATACTAAAGTACAAACCAACAAACAAATTTCTTGTCATGTATATTTACAATGGCAGCAAGAATATATGTGTTGTACCATTAACTTTTACTGTTCTTTACCTCCTTAAAGTGCTTCTTTAGGAGTACTAGAGGTATTTCCGTCATGATACTTAGAATGCGGTGGATATGAGTTGCTGCAAAAGGAGGGATTTATCACATATATAAGCATCTAAGCTAATTAAAGGATGAAAACATGATTTTTCTGACTATTATTTTCTTTTGTGTAATTGTTGACATTTTGTTTCCTCATTCTTCATTTTGTTCATATGGTAATGTTGATTTTGAATTTCTTGTCTTTTCTTATGAACTTGCAGGAAAAAATTTGTGGTGATATAGGTTCTCAAGAAGCAATTATTACCTGCTATAAGTGTAAAAATGTTGACGTGCACCAGTAAGTTCTCTCTCGATTTTTAGCATGAAAAGGCAGTCAGGCGAGCTGATTGTGAACCTCAAACATTGTCCCAATCCCAGATCCATTCTTTTTTTATTGACTTGTCATTTCTAAGGGAGAAGTTGTTCTTTTCACACAAGGGGGGTGCTCCTCTTGAAGCAAATTGCGAGTTCGATTATAAGCTTTTGCTCCCCTTTTTTAAACTTATATAGGGATGAAAAGTGGAAAAGAACTAAAAGCCTAAATGGAAGTGATATTACCTAGTAGGGAGTGTAAGGAGCTATTCGAGTTGTTTAATCTTTCTAGCGTTCGGATCCTTATAGTATTGGGTTCCACCTAAAGGATACATCAATTCTTGCATTAGAATGTTGTGGCATTTAATTCTATTAAGTTAAATAGGTTCTCTTCTTATTTTTAAAAATTATGCTTTTCTCTTCCTTTCAGATATTGTGTGTCGGGCTACTATGTTGATGCACCAGTGTATTGGTGCTGCGAAAAATGTGATAATGACAAATGGATAATATCTGTGTCACATGGACTAGAAAATGTGCAATCCGAGGGATCATCTGCAAAGCTTTGCCCGAGTAGTGTGCATTCAAATGAGTTTCCTCGTGGGAGTAGGAATCGTATTAACTGGGAAAAGGAGGTAAAGACAGGGAAAGCCAGATATCTGCCTGTTAAAGACGGACATGGTTTGCAATCAGGCATGGAGAAATATGAATCACCACTGGGAACTAGTTTGCCCTCAAGAGTGGTGTCAACCGAATCCATGGCGATCGTGACTCAAGATCATTTTAGCAATCCTAGAGTTCAAATTTCAAATTCTTTTCCTAAGAAGAGCGCAATGCAATTAGTTGGAGGTTGAGTGTTCACCAATATATTTTGAATTCATTAATTGGTTTAATTTGTCCTCTTTTTATACCTCTAGTCTTTAGAGATTTCATTTCCTATCATTTACTTTTGTACTTTCATCCAATTGATGTAGCTTATTTTTTAGGTGCGGCTGGTTCTACTATTATGAAGCAAAGGAGTCCAAATTCATCTACAACACACCCTTATGATCCTGCTTTAGTTCCTTCCTGGAAGTAAGTACCCTACATGAATGCCATTAATTTCTAATATAGTTCAACACCGGGTAACTGAGCTCCAAAAAGTTCAAATTCAGCAAGTTAGTCATGTGCATATTTCTCCCTGGTTACCTTGTGACCTTTTTTATGGCAGAAACTTAGTCTTTCGCATATGAGTTTAAGAAATTCCCCGTGTGGAATGGCATGGTAACTATTTGGGGTGCAAGTAAGCTCTAGGAACGCCATTAATATAATTACTAAAAAAATGAATAGTACACTGTATAGTATATGCCTAACTATGGGAAAGAGTTCTACATACCATATATTTTTGTGTCCTTAAAACTCGAATACGCCTTTCGTTATACATTGAAAAACAGAGAAGTTTCCCTTTAATCATTCTAAATACTACATATATACATATATAGAGAGAGATCTTTTTTTACTTGAAGAATTGGAACAACTCAACCAAAATACAGGTTCACTTCCCTATAATAATTAGTCTCTCTCTTCTTTGCATTTTAGGGGTAATTTTGACATCTTAGGTGAGCTGGAACTTGCACCTGGTTATATCCAGGCTCATTCTCCTTGCAGGGTTCGACGTAAGGTTTATGAGTTCTCAGGGCGATTGCCTGATACTCTTAAACTTGAATTAGTTCCCCGTGGGGATATCTGGGCAAGTCTGTTTAACGGTTATATTCCGGATAAAGAAGACATAGGACTCTATTTCTTCGCAAGTGAAAGAGAAAGGTCAGCTTCTATATACCCTATATATCTACCAAGTAAAAGGGATCAGGGGTGCAAAGTAGAAGAGCGCCCTTGCCCAAGATTATTTTTACTAGATATTGACTTGAATTTCCCATTATTTGTAGGTCTGACAGATATATCGCCCTGGTGGAGTTCATGCATAGCAAGGATTTGGTGTTGAGAACTCTTATCAATGATGTTGAGTTGATTATACTGACATCCACAGCCCTATGCAGCGATTCTCAAAGTACATTTATAATCTCTACGTTATTTTCTTATTCCCTTTCATGAATTTTTAGGTAATATACATACTCAAATATTCTATTAATTTTCTTGTCTATCCAGAAGATTATTCCTTTTTAAGTTAGCAATACTTGTTTGGTTTTGTTTGAATGTAAATGCTTTAGTGCGGTAAGTCATCAGACCAGATTGTACAATCGGGGGCTGAAAAATATGTAACTTGGATTGTTTTATCTGTAGTTTGTGTGCCTTGAATGTAAGTTTGGAGCTGCACCTCACCTTGTGGATGTTCTTGCAGGTTGGAACAGTGAGCACTTCTTGTGGGGATTATTTTACCGCATGGGACAAGACACGGATGGATGTGCTGAAGGAGGCAGCAACAAAGTGGTTGACATGGAGATAGACATGATAGCTGGAGAAGATGTAGGAACGCTGGACATTGTGCTCCACTCATGGTCGTAGATCTGTTCACAACGAGTTTTCTTCATTCAGTCCGACTACTTAATTCTGTCTATCTTGATGCTTGCATCGTCTATCTGACTCGTATCTTTTGGTTCTATCATCCGACTCTTGTGTCATACTAGCTATTTGTCACAAATACTAATCAACAATTAGATTTATGGTCAATATGCGAGTAATGAGTTCTTTAATCGTTGATCGCTTGGAATCCTATTACATCTATGGTCAGTATATGAATTTAAAATGGAACAAGTTGCTTAAAACAACTCAGTTGGTGCTGCACAGAAAGATACTTTTCCTTGTGATATGCTCTGCATTCTGAAATGTTTGAAGACACTTCTGCCGCTCATTTTTCTCTCTTCTCATAAATGTATTTGAGTATTATTTTTAAAATTAAGTGGATCAACAAGAGTAAGAAAGAAATTATATCACCTTTAAATACTTATCGTATAAGAAAATGTGACATTCTTTTTTAGACTAACCAAAAAAGAATGGTACCACGTAAAATGGGACAGAGGGAGTATTACGTATACAGAGTTACATATGATTATTTTTTTTGGGTTCATGATGCCCTGTTCGAAATCCATGATGAGTATAGTGGGTTCAGAATTGGTTTTACAGCTGCTGGACCTGTGAGAGCACATGTTGATAAAGATAACACCAATAACTTTGGGTAGTCCTGTTCAAGAAATGAATAGCAATCATAATAGATCACAAACATTTTGAATTGCAAATAATTATTTCTTGGTTAGTTTGAGGGATATTCTTGAGCCGAAAAACTAAATTATATTTTTAGATTAAAAAGATGGATGAAAGATATTTATAAACCATTTTTCATAAGATAGGACATTTTTGCTCATGTTCCGTTAACTTCATGATAAATGAATGGTCTACGAACATTAGTTTGAATAAATGGTAAACCTGATGATTGTGCCCATATGTTTCTTAGAATCGCATTTCAATGAGCCATCAAATACTTAAAAATATGAAAGAAAAAAAATCACATAATCAAACTAGTTTATTCATCTCATTTCCTGACAAATCACTAAAAAGAAGTAAAATGATTGGTTCAAATTAAGATCATATGACTTGATAAAGATAAGTTAATTCATAAGAAAGAACTTGACTGTTTCTTCACTTGGATACCTGATACAAATTTTTTTGTCCTTGCACCTTTCTCCTTAGATCATCTCTTGTATTTTTATTTGTTCTTACAAGAACTATCAAACTCCATACCCATTTGCCAAAGAAATAGACTAACAGCAGCTTTGTCACAAAAGACCTGAACAGAACATGTTATATGTTTGCCTTGAAAAAAATCTTCTACACTGCACTGATTCGAGAGGATAACCAACAAGACCAGAAGAAACGCCACTCAAGTGAGAGTGGCAGTAAGAGCATCAAACTAAAAATGCTTCAACAGAAACTGAGCTTCTTCATCACTTTTGCATAAGCCAAAGGGACCGTAGCAGGTTGCCTGAGCCGACGTTTTGATTTCTTAGACTGCACCAAACAATAAAACTCATTTAGCACCATTGAAGAAGTCATGACTCAAGTTCATAACTAGTGCAAGTGTACAAACACAACAACATGCAGATAATTCAACTGAAGATGCTCAAGAATCTATTTTAATGGTAAGTGTGTCATTTTATTTATATGAACAGAAAACATGGCAGTTTACTCCAGAAAATTTTGACCTTTCTATATTTCTACAACCAAGAATCTACCAGATGATCAAACTTATCAAGTCCATGAGTCCTGGAACTCTTTTTTTAACTTAAGACTGGAAACATTTTGTATTCCTCAGCATTAAGGGCTATGCTGGCCACCTTCAAAAAGTTGTTAGGCTGGAACTAATTTTAGAAGGCCAAAAGTCCCGGAAAATCAAAGATTTGCCTTCAAAAATCAAGTGATCTCAAAAGCTATAGCTTCCAAATCCACTCAATGAAGGCATAAAAGAAAGTGATTTAGAAGTTGCGATCTCACAACAGACTTCACCTTGCTAAGGAAATTTTGAACTTCCTATTCCTCTGAACAAGCAGAATTACCACATAGTTAAACATAAGAAAATCGCAGTTAGACTAGTTCAGCCTAAGAAATCGCAAGATTAAGTTTCTAGTATCAAATGTTGTTATTACTGCACACAGAGTTGCATTTAGCTGTGATGCACAATATTGTTACTAACTATTTTACTATGGTCCAAGCAATTTTATCAAATAAATAACTAGCCTGGAGGGCAGGCAGGAATTACGTTACTGCACTTTTTTTTAAAAAAATGGTGTTTTGCCGTACCCAAGAGAGTAGCATAACAGTCTAGTGCTCAATGAAGAGGACTGAGAATCATGAGGTCTCCGGTTCTTGTGGAGGCAAAAACACAAAAGCACTGGGAAATTTTTCCGTAGGTCCAAGCATTGGTGGACAAGGTTTCCTGATATCGATGTTGGTGATAGGTATCAGGTATCACGTGGAATTAATCTAGGTGAATGCAAGTTGGCCCGGACATAAAGATTATCAACGACAAAAAAAAGAGATGTTTTGCCAAATACACAAGTTTCCACTTTCCACGTCAGGAAGATTCTGCCCCCCTACCTTTCTCCAACCCACCCCAAAAAATGGTTTCAAATGTTGCCCTTACTCGCTGAAGGCAAAATGCACAACTTCATAACACATAAAGGCTAGCAGACTTCTACCATATAAAACTACATGTGTACACCATATCAAGCTACATGAGTCCATTAGAAAACAACCAATGAACTGTCTCTCAATCCAAAATTAACTATTCTATGCTTTTTAAATCTTATTTATCCATGCCCTCTCTATTCAGATTCAGTTTATTACAAATGCTAATATCAGAGAATATATCATAGGTAGACAGCTTTACACTGGTGGTCAACATCAACAATCAACCTCCACATTTCTTATCCTTTATCCAGGGCTTGGGACGGATATACTTTGTGAAACTCACCTATCAATTAACTATGAAGTAGATTCCCTACTTTTTCGTATAATGCTTGTATACAGAGAATCCCTTTCCTCACAAGAAATTGGTCTTTGCATATTTATATGCAATCCAATATCTTATAGGGAAAAAGTGATGACAGATGATAGGTAAGAAACAAATGACAACCAATAAATCAATCAGGCCTCAAACTCAAATTAGTTGAATCAGATATATGTATTTTATTTCGCCGTTCTGTTCTATTCAAGTATATCCAAAACTTAAAAATTTGTATTTTGGTGCACAATTTGAACACATGGAGCTAATGATGAATGGGTGCAATGTAGCTGAAAGGGCTACAGGAATAGTGATGTTAAAGATTTGCTTAGGGCTCGACAAAGAAGAAAATGAAACAGTAAGAAGTGAAAACAGATCTTAAAGAACCAAAAAAAGGAAGAAAACACGATGAAGAAGATTTTTAATAATTTCTAAAATGCCTATTCGTTCAAGTCTCCTAAAAAATAAAGGGATACAGAAGTGTTCTAGTGAAGAATATAGAGGATAAATGATGCACAGACAGATGCATCAAAACTAGTACTGCAACAGAATCATATTTACCAGGCACTTTTTAAGTTGGTATATAGCAGCACATGGCGTATGTTTTGCAGCATCTATCAGAGGTTTTTTTTTCTTTGGGTTGATAGATCAGATAACTTTTTACAACGACAGTGCCTTTAAGATCAGAGGACAGTTTATTAATTGGGCTGAATTTATTTTTGGTAAGTAATTCGGTTCGATTATTTAAGTAACTTTTACTATCTGTTTCCTACTTCCTATCTTCCTCAATCTTTCGTCTAAATAAGCTTGAGAATTTGGAAATACAGTTTTTTTTTCAGGAAAAAGGCTGTCTTTTAAAATTTAAAAAAGAAAAGAAAAGAAGGAGCTATTATAGCTTTGTAATTGCTCAACTTATTATCTGTGATATTTTATCAATTTTCTTGAACCCCTTTTCTTTTTGACAAGGTAACAGACAGATTCTTGAAACCCTTCTTTATTAAGGGGATGAAAAGTCTTTTAATGTACATGCAGAAGCACTTTATGGGGCAATCAATAAAATTTCACTCATCAAGAAAAAAATCTGTGATATTTTGCCTCTGGTCCTGATGATGTATCCCAGAACTTTTTTTATTCAATCAACTAAGCCTCTATTCCTAATCAGTTGAATTCTTTGCTAAAAACAACCCTTTTAAGCATTTCCCCTTATTTGCCTTTAGGAAATGAGGGCTTTCACATAAATCAAAGTAAAACTCCTACTTCCACAATCCCGTATGTATTACTTGGAATCATAACTAAAGACGGCCTACACAAACATGTCGGAAAACAGGAGTTGAAGAAATCAATACAAAACTTGATGGACAAACCAAGCATCCTAATGAACACATATAATGGAGGAAGAAATTAATGGTGAAAATAAAGATAGTTATCTTAATAATTTCAAGCACTACGAAGTTGTGATGAAGATCAAATGAGCTATTTCAAGAATTTGATTCTGATACATCAGGATTAGATCAGGATATCAGAATAATCCTCCAGTTAAATATATTTATCCCCCATAAAGATGATCTACTTCCTATTCTTAAAAGATTGTACTAAACTTTTCAGACACTACCAGTGCTCTCAAACTCTTATAAAAGTTCTACAAGTCAAACAGACAAATAATATACAGGTCTGGAGAATACAATGGAAATACTTGTGGTCCGGCCCCTTTTTACTAAAATATACGAGTTGTGGCAGGAAAAAAAACTGCTTCTCAATAATGAGTATGAGTTTGTCTAAGGTTCAATTATGCGGTCGGAGTTAATCTTTAAGAAGAAAAATATGTCATCAATGAAGCACGCAAATACAATTTTAATTGGGGATGCTTTATGGACATCAAGTCATATTCGGCTGGAATAATCAAATAAAGGTGAAGACATGAAGGACCTTGCACGCATGATAACTTTTAATCATATTATCAAATCATATTATCATTTACCAGAGGAAGGGGAGAAAATGTTCTTAAAAGTTATGATTACCATAGGAACTGTATCAGATGCAACTTTGGAAAGACTAATATAAAGTTGTTTCAGCTAGCCAACTAAAGTAAAAGGAAGAAAGGATGGACAGATTACAAGGACAAGCCCTAATTCCTACTCAGCATGGAAAGTGAAGACTTGAGCACCAGCTTCTTTTTTCCAACCTAAGAAGAGCTGAATGCTGATGGAAGAATAGATGGGAAGACAAGAAGTGCGGCAGAATCATTATTCACCACTGTGGCAGCATTATAGTTGTGGTCCTATAGCACTCTTCTGTAAGGCTTGGATTCTTAGTTCAGATTTTATTTTTACTTATTCTAGGCTACATTTTATTATTTGGTTCCTAGTTGTTTTCACTTCCTTTCAAATGGTTTGTTAGTCAACCACAATTAGGTAGTAGCTTCTCAATGACAATTGACAACATCTTTTTTGTCCTTCTCAAGCACCTCGAGTTGCCTTTTTGTTCCACCTCAACCTTTCTCATTCTTGATTCATATCTAGATTCACTTCCCAGAATTCTCCTTACAACATTTCCTAATCTGTTTAGGCTCCAACATTTGGAAGCCCCAAACTGAAGATCTCACCAAACTTCTGTACTCCCTAATTTCTTTCTCCTACATAGGAATCACAAATTATCAACTAAAGACATAAACCTTGCAAAATTTGCAGTAAGCTTTAAGTTCATCACATCTTTGGACCCTAAATAAGTCCTGGATCTAAATCATTTCACTGAATTGAGCAAAATTAACCCTACAATTTCAAGAAGTTTACAAGCATTTCTTTTATAAACCATTGTTTTTAGGCCAGCTTGTGCACACCTCGACCAATTCAACAGGGTACCTACTACCTCCCACTAGAACAATCAATAAACTTACAAACTTTAAACTCCTACATAGCTGGACTTTAACAGAAATGCATTTTGGGAGTTGTTAAGCAAAGCATACAGTACAGAATTTGACTGTAACAATAACAATAACAGCTAGGAACATTCCAACTCCTTGCTAAACATTAACTACATGGTGGGAAGAAAGATGAGTGCTTTCACAGAGAAACATTCTTCTTTTCACAACACCCCTCCCCTAAAACCCTGGAAGAGTTCTGGTAAACAGTTACAAGGGGGATCAGTTATTGATCCTTATTAGTCGAACTGTCAAGCAGTTTAGTCAAGCAGTTTTCTGGTAACAACAATAAGACAAGTACCAAGTCAAACACATAAGTGATTGAAATTATACCCTAAAATACCACCTCACAAGCATTAAGGTAATATTAACAACAATTGAGTGTCCATGTATACCGTATTTCGCTTAATTAATCAAAGCTGCCAAAAGAACAAGAGAAAAGCTAACCTTTAAATGTGCATTATGTCTCTTCCCCTCCTTCCAGCGCCTAATCTGGCCATCCTTCATCACACGAAATCTGTCCTTGTAAGACCTAATCCAGTAGCAAGTACTAATTATCTTCAATATCTAACACGAACTTAAAGACAAATCAAATTAAGTCATATACATACGAATAAAATTTCATTTTGATTTTCTTGACTTTTGATGTGATTGGAGTCATGGGCTTCCTGCTTTTCAACTTCCTTTTCCTCTGTTTTGCAGTGATGTACCGCACTTGCATGAACTAGAAATCAACAATCAACACTAAACAAGTAAATAGAAGAAAATCCCAATAAACACAGAATAGAAATCATTACTGAACAAGTAAATAACAGAAAGATACACTAAACATACATGAGAAGCTACAATATTTTCAACACTACCCAAGACCAATCATATGAAATCAAGGTCACATTTTGGTTAACCCCTTTGTCTTTCCTTCCATTTCCAGCACTTAGACCGTAATTAATAACAATCAGACTAGAACATTATACTATTTTAAGCATTATATGCATAGGCAAATCCAAGATTTCAAGTAATTGGGGTTTGGAGGTCCATTGCACCCACTACTCCTATGAACTTAATATAAATACACACTCCAATAAGATGAAAATGAATAAAGAAGGCAACTTACAGAAAGAGGGAGGAGAGACGAGTGAGTGGGGAACGAAACAGGGCCACCATGGCAAAGGGGTTTAAAGGTGGGAGAGAGTATTGACTGTGTGAAGGGTTTGTTAATAATGGGATTGGTAGCAGTGTGGAGAAGACGATGAGGAGTAAGAGGGTAGTGATGGGCATTTGGAGTTGAACGGAGAGCGGCGAGGGACCGGAGCTTAGAGCACCATCTCTGCATCTTTGCTCTCTATTTGGGACTTAGGTTTTTTTGCTTTCGATTGTAAGAGCCAACAGGAGAGACGACACACCATCATTATTAATTTTGGGAGTCAATTGATATTTTAACAAAATATTTTTCATGAGAAATTATTTTAGTTAGGAAAAAGGGTCAAAAACACCGTTAAACTATTCGAAATAGCTTATATATATTCTTAAATTTTATTTCGGCTTAAAACTATCCTTTCCGTTATACTATAGGGTCAAAAGTATCCTTCTCATTAACGGAAGTTAAATGTCATATGAATGTCACATTACATGTCAATAGGATTTCACTGCCACGTGGACTAAATAGAAAGGATCAAAAATATCCTTAAACTATCCGAAATAGTTCATATTTACCCTTAAACTATATTTCGGCTCAAAACTACCCTTCCCGTCAAACTATTGAATCAAAAGTACCCTTCTTATCAATAGAAGTTGTTAAATGTCATGTGAATGTCACATTGCATGTCAATAAGGTTTCACTGCCACATAGACTAAATCCCTTAAATCTAATTACTTTCCCCCTCATTTCATTATTACAGAAATGATATATTCACCCGTTCTCCTCATTTCGCAACTAGGGTTTAATACTTTTCTTCGTGACTGGGTTTCAAAGTAGATATTCATGCTTGTAGGTTAGTAAATATTTTTTCTTATTTTATTATGTTTACGATTTCAAAGAATGATCGCTAGGATTTCACAACTTTCCCCTAATTTCGCAGCTAAGACTTCGTAGCTTTCTCGGGGGCTGAGTTTCAAAGTGGATATTCATGGTTGTAGGTTATTAAATATTTTTCTTATTTTATTACGTTTACGATTCGAAGTATGATAGTTAAAATTTCATAACTTTCCCGTCATTTTGCTGCCAAGGTTTCATTACTTTTTTTGGAGCTGAGTTTCAAAGTGGATTTTCGTGGTTGTAAACACAATAAAATAAGAAAAAAGTTTACTAACCTATAACCACGAATATCCACTTTGAAAACCAGCAACGAAGAAAACTGTGAAACCTTAGCCGCAAAATGAGGAAGAAAGGGTGAAATCCTTTCTGAAAAATAATGAAATGAGGGGGAAATGAGTAATTAAGATTTAGGGATTTAGTCAATGTGGCACATGTGGAATTTAACAATTTTCACTAATAAGAAGGTAATTTTTGACCCAATAGTTTGACGGTCTATTGGACAGAAAGGGTAGTTTTGAGCCGAAATATAGTTTAAGGGTATATATGAGTTATTTCGAATAGTTTAAGGGTACTTTTGACCCTTTTCCTTTTAGTTCATGTGGCATCCACATGGAATTTAAAAAATTTCGTTAATTAGAAAGGCATTTTTGACCCAATAGTTTGACACGAAGTTAGTTTTGAGTCAAAATATAATTTAAGGGTATATATAAGCTATTTCAGATAGTTTAAGGATATTTTTTACCCTTTTCCGTTTTAGTTATTAGAAAAAAAATTTGGAAATTGTGTTTTATAATTATTTAATTATTTATTACTTGATTAGGTAAGCTTTCTTATATAATTTTAATTAACTTTTATTACTTAAATTCTTCATGTAAAAAGTTTTTGATTTATAAATCTTATTTCATTTTTGTAAAATATTTTTTTTTATTATTAGTGACGTATCGCATGAGGCAGAATGGAAGTGAAGATCAATTCAAAAGTCATACGGCCAAGAGAGGGGGAGTTTCAAGTAACTTAGGTCAATATCCAAGAAAACGAAAGATTGATGATAATATGAGTCATCATAATTAAAGCAAAATGGCAGAAATGGAGGCTCGCAGAGATCAAGTTATATGAGATAAATATATGTCATCAAAAGTTAAATATAAATTTTATAGAGTTGTGACACCTACATTGTTTTATAGAGAAGATGTTGACGTGTCAAAATGCACATGTTCAAAATTAGATGAGGTATGAGAAAGCTCATACTAGCTAAGAGCGGTAGGACGAGGAACAAAGTTATACATGACAAAGTGGTAGTAACCTTCATGACGGACGTAAGAGCAGCAAGACTAAGATGATTCAGAATATGAAAAGGAGGTATATGGAGAAATCAATATATAGGGGTGAGAGTTTGGCTATAGCAAATTTTAAGGGAGATAAAGGAGAAGGCCAAAGAAGAACTAAGGAGGTGATCAAACAAGATATGACACATCTTCAACTTACTAAGAATATGATCCTAGACAAAAATTTTTGGAGATTGACGGTTAAGATAAAAGGATAATAAGTAGTTATGTGTTGTAGTAATTTTAAAAAGGAGAAATAAATGGCTAATCTCCTCTTCTCATGATCTTCTCTTCAATAGTAGTCTTACCTAGTATTTGCATTGGATGTTATACATTCTTCATTTTTACAACATGTTACTTTTATTGATTTGTTCATCTTGCGACTTTATTGTTGTTATTTTTCTTCCATCTTTCTTTGATTACATTAATTTAAATTGAGAATTTATTAAAAATATTTTTTCACAAAGATAAAGATAAAATTTATATATATCGACTATCCTTCAAACATGCTCTAGGTAAACTAACTAAAAACTTTCATAATTGGATTTTTTAAAAGTTTGATACTCACATATTAGTTTTTCAATTTGTCGAGGGTTTGCTAAGGATGTCATTTTAAAATTGTGGTTTAATTTGAAACTATTCGATGAAGATTTAATCCATTTAATTAATACTATGTTTTAAAAGGTTTTTGAAGTTGATAGAAGATGAACTATTATTATTATTATTTTGGAAAATTATATATAATGGCAAACTATTAAATCAAATTAATTGTTATAACCACCCTTTGATTTAATTGTCCCGTAGCAAACATTTGTCAGTCACCTCTCTCCCTCAAACTCTCGCTCGCCACTCTCCTCTCTCGCTCCATCTCTCGCTCGCTTCCTCTCACTTTTATACAAACACAAGTATACAAAATATGCTTCTATTTGTATAAAGTAGAGGAAATTGTATAAATACGTATATTTTTGTTCCTCTTTCTCCCCTCTCAAATCTCGCTCGCCTCTCTCGCTCATACAAACAGAAGCGAAATGTATAAATTGAGTTTCTGTTTGTATAAAGCGAGAGAAAATTGTATATACACATATATTTTCGTTCTATACACTTATAATTATACAATAAAAATACTCCCTGCCCAGTTTCTTTTGCCTTTCTCTCTTTTCCGTTTTATACAAATTCAAATTGTATATAATTTCTCTCTTTCTTGTTTTATACAATTCGATTCAATTGTATATTTCCTGCCCAAGTCTCTTTTGGCTTTCTCTCTTTCTCATTTTATACAAATTCAAATTTTATATAATCGTTCTATACTCTTATAATTGTACAATTCATTTTTTTTAATTTCATATTATACAATTCTTTGCCCAAATCTCTCTCTCTTTCTCGTTTTATATATTTCGTTTTATACAATTCGCTTCAATTGTATATGTATAGCGAGTTATACATTTATATGTTTGCTATGGAGTGCAATTATGCAAACTTTGCTACAACATATAAATATGAATTTTATATTTGCTATATGTGAAAGTTACCCTTTTTATAATATTTCATGATTTGGTAAAACAATATAAAAGTATATGTATATTAATATCTCTTATACACAATTGTACAAAATAAATACACTGTAAAGTACGTAATATTGTGTAACCTTTGTATGTGGGTGTATAAACATTATTACAAAAAGAAGTTGATTCTATACTATAGGATAACACACTCAATGTAATTCTACGAGTGAAATCTAAAAATGATATAATATATATAAATCTTTCACATATATTATAGAGAGATATTATTTATGATTAATTTTTTTTACAAAAAACAATACTTGATTTAGAAAATTCAAAATTTTATCTTTTTTTTATTGATAATATTTAGCAATATATTATCAAATGAAGTAGTGTACTAATCATAAAATCGGGATTCCTCTCCGTATATAGAAGGTATATCCATGAATAGTTAGTTCCAATAGTGAAAACCGAATGTTTAATCACTTTTAAATTTGCATCATCAAGGACTTGATATTCTTTAATAACGGGATTAAAGACATAAAAACAAATTATATTAATTATAAAAAGACCAAAAACAAATGAAACCATTCAAAGAATTGACCGTATCATCCTCATCCAATAATAACTGCTTCCAATTGAGAGAACAACCAGTTTTTTTTTCTTTGTTCAATGTGTAAGTAGGCAAGTATAGATAATTGAACACCAACTACACATACCATCTTTAACTTTTCAACCAAATCATGGCTAGGTACTCTTCGTAAAATCTTAACAACAACTTCTTTGGGTATAAAAATGACATCTTATTTTTCATTTCCCTTGATTTCCTTTGAGATTTTTGTAGACATACAAACTTTATTGATTTTTTCTTACGAAATTTGGATTAAATTCATGTGTTATTTGTGTTGGATGATTAATTGGGCTTTACAAATAAATAAGTTCATTTTTATTAAATTCAAGTCCAAGGTCCATTTCATCTTGAAGCTCAAATTCACGAGGTGACGCCACATGTTCAAATGAGATGGTAGACTCATCCAATCAAATGCAAGAACCAATCACAAATCGTCAGGCGTTAAAATGACATGCTTTGGTCAATCATAAACAACTTTGTCCACCTTTAAAACTATAAATAGAGAATATGGCCTTCTGCAACCAGAGAGAGTACAACACCAATTATATAGTTTTTCGAAGGAGTGATTGGAGGTCAGCTTAAAAGATGAAGTCCTTCCCGATATTTTGTAGAGATCAAATACACTTCAAGGAGATCTACATCATCCTATATTCGAGGAATATGCTATTCAAGGCCTTTGAATCACGGAGAAGTTTAAGGAGAGAAGAATAAAAAAAATAATAGAATTGTACTCACAAGATTTATCAATGAAAATCACATTTTTCTTTTATTTATTTTGCTTGCACTAAATTTTTTGCGCTAACGAAAATTTGTTGCAACAATCTTAAATTTTTTTTCTATAATTTGATTTAGAATGAGTAAAGTTTACTCATTATACCGAACTACTATAGTCGAAAAGAATCCACTATTTCCACGTCTTCAGATTCCAATAGAAGAATAATAATCACAATAAAAAGGGATGCCAACCTAATAAAGAGTTATTCTCATTCTGATTCTAGTTTCGATTCTAATTACAGTCGAAAAGAATTGACTATATCCATCCAATTGGAGGAAGAATAATAAAAAGCACAATAAAAAAAAAGATGTTGGACTATGGTTACTTCTGTCGAAAAGAATCACTATCTCCACCCGTAGAAAAGGATGCCAATATAATAAAAAGTTATTCTCCAATTCTGATTCTAATTTCGATTCTAAATACAACGGGTAAAAGAAAAAATAATAAGCATAATAAAATAATCGATGTTTTTTATATATGGAAAATCACCACTTTCAATAAACAATTGAAGTTGTACAAAGAGTTAAAGGTAAGTGATACTTAATATGTAACATTTTTATTTTTTAATTAAATCTCATATTTCTTTCATTCACATATTATCGTAACTATTTATCTATACTCATTATTATATTTAACTAAACGATTAATTTTATAATTTAAAAGGAAACTTGAACATACATATTTGATATTACTAATGTAATTATCATGAAGTAAAAGATATTATGTTTAAAGTTATTTATTTTTTATTCTTTTATTTAGTCTTGACCAAAAAAAAAAAACATAATAGAAGAGTGGATTGTTAATATTGAGTAATTGGGAGGACGTGGCACGTGAGTAAACAAATAATTCTATTCCTCGTTTGCCGGCGAATATTCCACTGCTGCAATAACATTTTTTATACCCTTATTTTTTTTCTTTTCCAATTCCATCAAATTATGTGTAATAAATTTATGATTTTAAAAAAAAAAATCTATGAAAGGAATATATTCCTCTTTCTATAGACATAATCTATGACTTACTCCAACAAAATTTCCATGTATATAATCTTATTCTATATTATAGTCTTATTCTAAGTATTATATCAAATGTAAAAAAAAAATAAAAATAAAAAATTAAATATTGGATTAATTATCTTGAGATAAATTATTTCACCATATATATGAAAATAACATATCTCATCACTATAATATAAATGATGGTATAAGTTATTTCAAACATAACAACTAAATAACAAATAAAATTTTATCTTACCACTATTTATTTTTATTACTTTTAAAACAGACGACCCCTAAATGTTTGAATTATTGACAACCAAAAAAGGGTGTTTCTTGATAGTATTATATTTTACTATATGTAATAAATTTGATGTGATGCTATATGAATTTATGATGGTGAATTTCATCATAGACTAGAAAAGGTGGATGGAATGTGTCACCGTTAAATCAAAATAAAATAAATTATTTATCGGCGCTCATGTCTCTTCAGATTCCTCGCCGATGTTCCCTCTCCCTGTCGTTTTCTTTATCCAAATTGATACCGTAATTATATATCTAGTTTATAATATTACGAATTTTACGAGTTTTAGATTACATGTATTTGATGCGTCTAGTTACATCTAAATACATATAGTTAAATCATGTGTAATTCGCTTTAGATCTATACATTGTATCTAAGTAAATTCATATGTATTTGACTCTCCGGATCGCCTCTCTTTCTATATTTGATATTTCAAATACATGTATCTGAGAAGTTAATATCTTAAAAGTCACTAAATTGTGATAAATTATCTAACAAAGTCATTAAATTTTGTCTTATATCAACAAAATCACTTTAGCTTGAAGTTTTTATCTTTTAAAATCACTCAGCTACATTTATTATCAGAATAAAATTTGATATAACAAAAAAATTATTATTTATGCTTTATAAACATGAATCTCATACATAAACAAGTTTCTAAACTCTGTGTAAAATATATATACACGCTGGTCGAGTTAGGTGGGGTTTATGAGTTCGGATGAACGCAATAGCTTTTACGTAGATCCTATAATTGTAATATTGAGTAATAATTTGTGAACCCCTAAAAAACTAATTGACGACTCAATAGTAAGGAAGGGGAAAGAAATTTAGAACCTCCTAATTTCTAATACTGATTCCGCCTCTGCATAATATCTAATTTAATTTAATGATAAATGTAATCTTTATAGATACACACTTTAAGTTGAGTAATTTTGTTGATATAAAATAATATTAAATGATTTTGCTAGATAATTTTTAATAGTTCAATGACCTTTTATAATATTAACTCTGTATTTAAGGTACATATACTATCTCGCCCGCCTCTCTCCTTTAATTTTTCCACTACATAAAAAATAATCATTAGCGGCAATTAAGAAGTACTTTTAGCGGCAATAAGCACTATTTGTATATGTCTTCTTTAGCGACACTAGTTCTAATGTCAGTTAACTACTGTCAATAAAGATTTTAACACTCTTTATTAATATTAATATTTAATGCCGTTAAAAGTTATGTTTGTTGTAGTGTTCTTGTTCGCTTCTCCCTTATTTTAGTGTATCTGGTAGAAAAACACACGTGTATATGTATTAGACTAGATATCTAGAATGAAATTATTAACTAATAAGACAATATGCAATTATTTCAAACCACATAGAAAATTAATAGATATAATATAGTAGTATTATTTATCTAATTAGATAGTTTTTCCATTTCTTATACATTTAATTTCGATTCTTTTGTAACATGATTTAGCGTTGGAATGTTTCTTTTAGGTTAAATATGTAAAATTATGTAAGTTTGATATTTTTCCATGAGAGACAAACTAATAAGAATCCATCCTCGATCACTTTAATATTATAATATAGTATACGTTCTACTGTTTCATTTAAAAATATTAAACCATCAGAAGAGACATCTTCATTTATTTAAAGTTTGTCAAATGGAAACTCCATTTTGATTCTCTTTTTTTCTTTATTGAATTTGTATCCTTTCGATCATTGATAATTCTTGGAACATTGTACTAAAATTTGAGCTGTTTTTGTTGCTTAAATAATAGTATTTGTGGGAATAGTATGTATAATGCAATTGATAGGATGGGAAGTAATTTGTATGAGAATGATGGGGTGGTGATGACAAGAGACCCAAAGCCAAGATTGAGGTGGACTGCTGAATTACATCAACAATTTGTTGATGCTGTCACTAAGCTTGGTGGTCCTGATAGTCAGTACACTCTTTTTTATTTTTGGTTTCATTTTGTGCTTTTTATCTACTTTTTTTAGTTGGGGATTACTGAATTCATTTGCAACAACGATGATAATAATAATATATTCAGTATAATCTCCCAAGTGGGGTCTGTGGATGGTGGTGTGTGTACGCGAACCTTACTTGTACACCTTGTGAAAGCAGATCAGAGAGATTGTTTTCAGAAGACAATGACTGAATTCATTTGTAGTTCCAAAATTACTTCTCTCAGACTTACAATAGTAATGAACTGTTGTTCTGATCCGATTCGAGTTGATTCATTTTAAGTTTTGTAAGTTGGTTTGTAGTGATTTTTGATATATGCAGTAAAGTTGGACCATCAGCTTCATTAAGATTGTTTGGATAAAATAGTAGTGTCTGCAGTCCTTTTTAGCTCTTGATTGTTATAACCTTATCAATTGAATTGAGTATTTTCTATGTTATATTGTTATAACCTTAATGAGTCAACCATTAGATTGATCCAATTCTGTTTCTGGATATCCTGTTATATTCATTGAAGTGATCCTGTTTTAGATCGATGTCCTTTTTGAGATAAAAATTGTTAGTTGGGTGACCATATGAGAATATGTGGAAAGTACCAAAATCATGTCAAGGCTGTCAATTCTGCAAATTGGAGTATCCTCTTATCTCTATTGCTTGAGATATATCTTTGTTCACCTTTGACTTAGATTTAGCTTCAGGAAGTAAGCTAGATAGTTGAAATATGAATTTTACACGCCTTCACTTGCTTGTGCTAAGTGAATTTTTGCATTTGGAATCATTTTTTGTTATACGCACCGCCATGTTTGATGGAAGATCTTGGATTTACAGAAGCAACTCCCAAATTAGTACTGAGGTTAATGGGCTTGAAGGGTTTGACACTATACCATTTGAAGAGTCATTTGCAGGTAAAAGTTTATTACTGCGCCTTGTTTTTTTTCAATTTATTCGTTCTCTGGTAATTACTTTCGATGTCTTTTTACCTTGTGTTTTCAGAAGTATAGACTTGGACAGCTGGCGAAGAAACAAAATGCAGCCGAGGCAAACAAAGAGAACAGCGGTGAGTTTGCTATAATTTTGAGAATTTCCAACAAATAGCATAGTACTGTGCTACAGAAACCCTTGCCTATTTGATTGTAGAAATAGTCAACTTGTAGGTTCATAAAAGCTTCTCGTGTGTTGATTCGTTATGATGAAATCTTATCATGATTGCATTGTGTTCTGCGATTTCACAGGGGACTCCTCTGGACAGTTTGGTTTGCATTCCTCAGGCCCCAGTACCTCTTCATTAAGTATGAACTTTATGCAAGGGTAGGTAACATGTTGTGTGCATTTGGTTTGCTAATGCCTCAATACACCTTATCATTAGGCTATATTTTACTCTGTTAATCAATTGACTTCTCGCTAATGAATGGCTTCATCTCTGTCTAAACAGAGAGGTCCCAACCACGGAGGCAGTAATGTCTCAGATTCAAGTTCAGAAAATATTACAGGAGCAGCTTCAGGTATGCATACACTTGTTTGCTAGCACTATTCGTATTCCTAATGCGTGTAAACCATGAAAACTTACAAACGCTGGATGTGATGATCCTAATCCTGTTCTCCTAGCTATACATTTATTGGCTTTAGTTCGCCCATTCTAATAGCAAGATTAACTCTCGCTAATCAGGTGCAACAGAAACTGCAAATGCGAATAGAAGCACAAGGTAAGTATTTGCAAGCAATATTAGATAAAGCTAAGAAGAGCCTCCCAGACAACATGAACTCTCCTAATGCACAGGAAGCAACAACCTCTCATCTCCCTGCTTTCGATTCACCTCTGTCAAATTTAATGGATTATGGAGAGAACCGGGACTACAACATAGAGCTACCAACGTCTAGTTACATCGTGGAGAAAGAACAAAAGAAGGATATGAATCTTTATAAGCTCAAAGAAGATTCCATTAATTTCGATTTGAACTCCAGAAGTAGCTATATATGATTTTTGTCAATAATTGTTCTGTTCACACAAGATTATTACATAGTACATTATTTGCTGAATTTTTCATTCATTGAAAAAACACGAAATTCAATCATATCGATGAAATTAAAAAGAGAAAAGTTAATTAAGAAAGCGTTTTAGATATTCGTCCATACGAGTATAACAAACTTCAGGGTAGAGAGCAGAGGCTTCTTCAGCATTTTGTCCAATTTCAAAGTTAGTTAAACAACCTTCATAGAATATGTGGTAGAAATGTCCCACTCCTACCTGCCCAGCATAGTCCATTTCTGCATCAAATACCGAGTCAGGTCTCTCTATAACAGTCATTCTCGATGAAAACATTTCACTATAATAATTGTGAAAGCGACTTTTAATGCTATATTATTTGTTCTCTATAATAACGTTTCAGTGTTGCACACGAATCTTGTTCTTTTGTTTTAGTGAGAGCAAATGCTTTTTGAATTATTTATATTTAAGTGAGTAAAGATTCTTTTAGTACAAAAAATTACATTAATGAAAAGCATAACTATAGGAGGGAACAATTTTCACACTGCAGTTTTACTACATTCTTTTGAACTAAATTAATGCACTTCAACTTCTGCGAGCATCAATCCGATACTAGTAAAATATGTTACAAATTATTTAACTCCTAAAAAAGAAGAATGAAATAATTTCTCTTTCATGTTATGCAAATTTTAATTATTATGCTAAATCAATTTCAAAATACTCATGATGTAATATTGTCTGTTGGGCCAAGCCTACACAACTTCTCCTCAAAACGCAACACAAACATTAGAAAATCACACACCCTTGTATCTATCTTCTTAATCTTTTCAGCTATTGATACGGGACTTAGCTTGCACTCCCAACCTAAATCTTAATCATATATTTAACACCACAAGTTTTTAAAATGTTTCTCGTTCTTAATTTTCTCATCGGGTCAAACTGTATCACATAAATTAAAAGTCCGAATTGTTATAAGTACCTTTCATGGAAGATAGGAAGTCTTGTTGAGAGATACTAATTTTGTGAAGTTGTGTTCCTTTAAGCTTTTCCCACTTAGCTATCAATTCCCTTTGGGTCATAATGTTTTCCGGTGGTCTAAGGTACACTGTCTTGTTCATTGTCCTTGGATCATCTATACTTTTTATAGTGTATGTTGCCACGTCATCTTCATCCATGTATACCACTGAATAAAAATAACCCAAATAAGAAAGAAAAAAAAAAGTTAAAAATTTCAAAATGTAAAAGGTACCCCATTAGTTTATTTTCTAAGACGATTAAAAGAATAATAACTTTGTTATATTTTGATAACTATTTTCATTTTGATAATCCACCCTTTAATAACAGACATATATATAGAAATGTCGCTACTTCCATATCTTATGTTATTTTTCTATATAAATAAAAATATAGCTGGTTAAAATTAATTAATTTTTTATTTTTCCATTATTAAATTCTTTTTTAAACGGGTAACAACATTGATGACCTGTATATACATATTATAAAGTTCTAAAAGGGTTTCTCTATTTTTTTTTAGTTTTGGTATTGATGTATAAGGTACCTAAATAGAGTGTACTTTAAAAAAGCTAAAAGGTAGATTAGTAAAAATACTTTTTTTATTGATTATTTCTTTGAAGAACATGTAAAAAAAGAAATTAAATAATGGACACATATATAATATGACACAATTATCAAAATAGACAAGTAATATAAGAAAAAAAATATAACATATTAATTAAGATATATTACAAGTTGTACAAATATCTTAATTTAATAACCATCAAAAGCTTCTTTCTATTCTGCGTACGATCAAACACTATCAGTCATATCAAATATAAAATAAAGATATAATTTTTTTTTATTATGAGAAAAGTACCTTTAACATTGCCATCTCCATAGAGACAAACTTTGTGTTTTGGAGGAACAAGAGTACCAAGTTGAGAAAGGTTGCCAACAAAATAACCAGCAAAACAATTAGCAGAAATGTAAGTATAAGGAATTTGAGCTTCTTCTATGGCTTTTCTCACTTCCATTTTCTCATCAAATGTTACTCTTCCTGGTTCTATTGCATCTCCCATTAGTGCTGGATCCATACCAAATTCCGATGGAAAAAATCGCTGCTAATTTCAATTAATACGAGTATCATGGTAAAATACGTACGTACATATACACGTGTCATTTATTTTTTTTGTGTACAAACAAAAGTGAACATGAAAAAATTTATATAGTTTGTGGGAGGTTTTGACCAAACTAAGTCATTATATAAAGTCATTCACCAAAATAATATGTTTTTCTAAAATTTTACAAAACTAGTATAAACGTATTCCACGGTAACGTTTTAGGATATATTTTATTTTTTAAAAGTTGATGGCGTCAGATTGATATATGTTACTCACAGTAACGTTTTACTCCTAAAACGTTACTCACGTAAAACGTTACTAAAATTAACGTTTTACGAGTAAAACGTTACTTATAGTAACGTATATCAACCTAATGCCGTTAGTTTTTAAAAAATAAAATATACCCTGGTCAAAACCTCTTGTGAGTGAGTTTGTGGATGTGAAAATAAATAATAAAGATAACTTAATTAAGTTTGAATGACGTAATGATGAAAGCATTAAACTGTATCTCATCTAGAAGCTTGGGAGAATTACAAAGTGGTCAGTGAAGAGCGTAGACTGAAGACTACTAATTAGAGAAAATTGATTAACGGTGAATAAGTAATTATCAATTTATTCAATTAGTTATCCTTATGAGTAAAGTCAAAGTTTCATCACTAATATCCACCAACTTTACCTTTTCTAGTGGTCTTTCTGTAAAAGTTTTAAATATTTTTATGTTATATTTTAAAAATTTATCTGCTTATATTTATTATTACCATAAGAAGGCTGGCTAAATAATACAATTAATTCATTGTTAGGTTATTTATTCGGAGGATTAAAAATTCTAGATTCGCTTTTGAATTTACTCTCTCAATCCTAATTTATATGATGATGATTATCACTTGTTCTTTAATCAATTTTTTTAATTTTTTTTTTGCAAAATTATTTAAACATACATCTTATTTTATCATAATCTTTGAAATTCTCTTCAATTTAAAAAACTCACAAAATCTCTATCGAATACATCACCCCCCTCTCATTAATACATTCTTATCCTCCTCTCGAATACACACACCCCTCACTTATGTATCCAGATGTGTCTGATGATGTATCTGGATGTCCTACCCTTCACTGATACATGCCTCCCCTCTCAAACAGTGGCTGAGCCAGAATTATCGATAAGGAGTTCAAAAATAAAAGAAATAAACACACGAAGTAGCCGAAGGAGGATCGACATCTACTATATATATCTAAAAAATTATTTTAACCATGTAAAAAAATAATATAATTTTTCTTCGAAAGGGGTTTGGATGAACTCCCTAATGATAATACGATGTGGCTCCGCCACTACTCTCAAATGCATCCCCCACCAATGAATATGGAAGTTTAATGATGTACCCGAAATCTATAAATTGTAAGGAATTTTTATAATTTAAAAAAATTATGTAATTAGCTCTTAACACTGAGAGGTGAATTATACTCTTTTTTTTACATTTAAATATTTTAAATTGTTATAATGTATAGCACTTTTTATGTAATTTCTAAACATATGAATTTTATTTCCAAGAATTTAAAAAAAAAATAAAATATATATATATATATATATATATATATTTTGAAAATCTAAAAATATAAATTATTTAAGACAAGCTAGTATTTTCTCTCTATCTTATTTGCCTTTTTTTCTCCTTGGTTAGATTTACAAAATAAATGCAGTAGAATCACTATTTGACCAATCAAAATATCAAATCTAAACTATAGTCTATAAATAATTAATATGAGTACCTTAATATTTCCAGCTTCTTTTATGGCCTCAACCAACTTGAGTTGCAACAATATATTGTGACTTCTGAAATGCACACCGGACATGGTGCATATAACAACATCCACCTCTTTCACAGCCTCCACTAGGCTCCTATGGTCGGAGAACGAGGCCTCGACAAGTCGAGCACCTTGCTCTTTAAACGATAATAACATTTGTAATTTATCGATGTCGAGGCCAATCTCCAACCGTTGCAGGACATGCGTCGTATGTCCTGCAGCTAAACTAGCCTTCACAATTCTCTTGCCTATGTAACCGGTTCCACCTACAACAAGAACCTTGCTTTTTACCATTGTGTATAATGTTTGTTATTTTGGAGATACTACGTTATGACTATTTATATTGTGAAATTTGCTATATTTTTCATATTATTTTTTTTCAAAGGTGTGTTTGAAAATGTAGATGAAATATAAGATTTTAAGCATAATAAATTACGTACTACTGTAGAAATTAGGTAACGTGTCTTTGTCAATACTGTTGATTTGGTTAAATAGTGAAAGTTTGATATTGTACAACAAACTAGACTTTTTAATTTCTTTGATTTATTTTTATTTGTTATATTATGTTTTTTGAAAGTTGATTTGATTAGTTTTCAAAGTTAAATTAGATTATATTAAATTTGATATTGTAAATAAAAAAGTTAGATATTCAAAAAATATTCAAAAGTACTATAAATTATAATTTTTACCTGTCGATGTTATAAAAAAAATATATCGTAAAATGCTAAACAATGGATATTTGAATTTTCTTTTCCATTTCTTAGAGCCTGTTTGACATTTCTAATAAAAACTGTTTATTTTTAAAGTGTTTTTTTAGACAGTTTTTTAAAAAGTGTTTTTTGAAAAAAATAATAATTAGTTTTTGACAATTTTATTTAAAAAGTGCATTTGATAAGCAATTTGTGTTCGATTACTTTCCTTTAAAAAATGTTTTTGAGAGTGAAATTACGAAAAATGACAAGTCATATGCTTTTAATATTAAGATTATTTTATAGAGAGACTATTTTAAATATTTAATACAAAAACTTTGATTTATTTAAAATGTACATATTAAATTTTCAAGCAATATTGTACATAAATAAATATTGTTGAAAAATATTAAAAAGAATTTTTTTGTCATTTGTTACCTATTT